CATTGGCTGCTAATACAAGTAATATAGGGTCTTTTGTGCATTACAAGGTTATCTTGAACAGAGGATTCACATCATCTGTCACATTTGGCTAGCATAGAACAGTCAGTTTTTCAAGGAGCTGTTTATGACCCTGAGATTGGCTTCCTTGGCTGATAACGCCAGGGTTGTGGGTTCAATCCCCAGATGAGCCATTCATTGAAGAGCTGTACTTGATCTTTGTGGGTTCCTTTCAACTCAGAATATTCTGTGATCTGGAAATTTGTTTTGCTTATGTTTCCCTGTATTATGAGGATTGTAGGTTTGATTACTGTCTTTCATAGTACAATTAACATGCATATTAGCAGAAGTTTGTCAAACCAAGTGAATGGAGATATTGCTGAACTCTTTCCTCTGTGGAGCTCAGTACTAGATATCCTACTAAATTTAGGTGGTATTTTTCATTAAAACTGCAAGCCAATGTACTACTGAAGAATCAGTAGCATAAACAAAAAGTAAATATTTGAAAAATTATGAACTCCATTTGTAATACTGTATGCAAGCCTAGGTTCAATTGAATTCTAGTTTACCTTTTAGGTTAAAATGCAGATGCTTGCAACAATTCAGAATCATCCACATTCTATTCATCATGTCCATTGTCCTTTTTACGTTAAGATATATATGACACAAAGTGGCTTAAATTGAAGATGTTATTTCTTTCTTAAACTGATGTTCAGTGTACAATAAGTCTCTGATTCTTTAATCATTGTCTGGTTTAAAACAGGATATTCTCCTTCCCTAACAATTATTTCTTCTTCTACCTCTCCTGAGTTAACTTCCCTCTGAAAGACTCATATGGGGGTTTGTTTCAGCATCTGTGAAGTTCATGCCCCAAATGTGTCAGTTTCTTTCAAATTGTGGAGATGAGCTGTGGGCTGGTGAATCCTGTGCATTTAAGTGAACAGCCAACATCCAGTAAAATTATGTGTACAATGAAATCATTGTCCTAAGGAAGAAAAAATAGGAAAAAAAATCCCAAACCTTTATATTTTTGTCTCTCTTTCCATTTAAGATTAGAGCAGGCTGTGTAATAAACTTAATTTGTGAGAAAATATGAGTTCATTGCAAACATGAGGAAAAAAAGGCAGTAGTTTAAGAGGTGAGATTCTGAATTTTCAGGTTGTTCAGAATGTTACTTGTTACCAGCTAAGACAATTCTTTCCTTTTTTTAAAATTCTTGTCTTCCATAGTTGAATCAATGGTGAACTTGCTAGTAATCTTTTGACTTCACTGGTGAAGTCGTTCCTTCTTAGTTTTCATCCCAGATCAATGAAGAAATGATTAACAAAGGAAAGGGGTATAAAAGAATGCAAATCTTTTTTCTGTCATTAAGAAAGAAGAGTACACAAAGCAACTTAGGCAGAGCCCTCCTAGCAGGATATTTGTAGAGTAAAAGAAATATGCAGTGAAAATGGAAGGTCAGGAAAAGACTAGGGATAAACCATGTATCTATGGTAAATTTTGCAAGTTGACTTTAAAACAGGTTTTGTTGAAACTGAAAAACTGACAAACTTAGATTCTGATCTAATTATGGACTGTCCTTTTTTTATCTGGCCTCTTGTTTTGATGTGTGTTTTACTTATCACTTTGATTCAAATTTTTATATGGGTTTCTTTACTTACTTCTATTCTGGAAACTAGCCATTCAGAAAGTCCTTGAATCATGAGAATTAGTGGAAAGTGATCTTTCAGATTTGCCTCATTCATTTTACTCTCATTCTAACATGTTGAATGCTAAATTCCCTCTCCCTGCATGAGGAATTGCACAGTGACTATTTCAGGAAAAAAGAAACAGAGAAGTGGCCAAAGGGGCAGAGTGATGATTCCTAGTTTCTGTAATCATGGAAGGTTAAGGTAGAATCTGCTGTCAGGCAACAGTTACAGCTGGAGGGAGTATAGTATTAATTTATTTCACATGCTGTATCAAGGACATTTAAGAATATAACCCAAGATAATGATACCTGTAACAACACCCAACACTGAAGACCAATACTTGTATTTCTTGGAGTACCTTTGAGAGCCTGCAAAACAAATGAATTTGAAGACGGTCTGTCACTCTTACCAGTAGAATTCAACCATTTTACAGTTTTGCTTTTAAGATTACTAACATTATTTTAATATGTGTTACATCAGTTCAAGTCAAGCTACATTTGAAATATATTCTTGCTTTATTGTTTGTGTGAAGCATTGCAACATTTGTGCAGTTAGCTTTCAAAGACTAGAATCCTGGATGGTTTTTAACGTATTTGGATAGTGTTCTATGAACTAATGTTCCTTAAATTTTTGATCCTCAGTGTATTAGACAGAAAGACGATCCTTGTCCAGCCAGCCATGGGAAGAAATCCTTTTTTTTTTCTTCAGATCTAACTTTAAAGATTAGCCAACTAATGATGATATATTGTGTAAATTAAGTATTTAACATTCCAAAACATATTGACGTATTTGAATTCAGCTCACCATGTAATCTTCCTTGTTCCTCTTGGCTGATGCACAGTCAAAAGTTCCATTATATTGTATTGAATTTGAAACTAAATTAATGTCTAAAACTTTCCTTTGTTAATAAGTTATATGATATTAAGGAGAAAAGTAGCTTTCTGAAAATATTGCTTATTTGGTTGCAAATAACCTCAAATAATGCTCCTGTGAAATTCTTCTACTGTCTTATCATCAGCGTAAATGCATTATGGCAAAAATGGTGTCCTGAGTTATCCCTCTGTTTTATATTGGGGGAAGAGCAGAAATTAAGCCTAAAGATTGGATTCTTAACCAGAAAGTAATAATAGCATGGTGATTATTTAGCATACCCACATTTACTAGAGTGATGAGACTATTATTATATAGCTAGTCTTTCCTTGGGATTATTATAATGTCTTTATCAGAGGGTGCTTTTTTGGGAATGGAATTTTGTACATGCCTTTCAGTCCAAGGACGTGGTGGAGAGCACACAGGGGTTGGAAACACAGCTCTGGTCACTACTACCACAGAGTGAAGTTGGGACTGTCCTGCTGGTTGCCAGCAGTTCGGGACACCTGGCCCAAGGGCAGTGTTGCGCAGAAACAGATGACTGAGGAACTATCTGGCTTTGATTTCAAGTAATTTAAAAGAATTTTGGTTTGTTACTTCGCTTTTATTTAGCAAAGTAAACTAGTTTGCTTTAGCTTTCTTGGGTTAAGTCAAATGATGTCTATTTTTTATTGGATCCTTCAAGGTCACAGAATTTTGCATAGAACAAAATACAATTAATTTACCTTTCAGTAAAATAAAGCCAAATGTAGGGAAAAAGAGTTGTCATGTTCCCCTTCACAGTGCCACTAATCTAGAAATAAACAAGTTATTTTCCAAAAGAAATTTCAAAAAGCACATAGCATAATAACAGAAATCTGAAAAATTTGGTTTCTATCCATTTTTGAGGTACGTTTTTATATTTAAATCTACTTACAYAAGATCAAACACTCTACTCATGGATTTATCATGGTAGCTACTCTCWAAAAGATCAGTGAGTATGTGAGGTTGTCCAGACTCACAGGTGAGTTTTAAGGTATGATCATGTAGTACAGTGGCAGTTTGTTGTCATTTTGCATTGCTTCCAAATAGTTTGAACCTTGGAGTTAGCAAATTTGTGTGAGGTCGAAACATTTGAGTGTGCAATCAGCATGGCATCCTAAATGCACTCAATATTACACCCATTTCTGCCACTATTGGCTCTATAAGCCATCAAAGCAGCTGCTTATTTTGGAGCGTCAGAAGAATTATTTAATTTCTGAAGTTTCTTTAAATTTCTTTAATTTTTGGCTAGAAAAAAAATGCACTTTGGTTTTCTCTGCTAAACAATAAAGTTGAGAAGTGGCTTTGTGGGAGCACATGCAATAGGCAAGTTTCCTCAGCACCGTCCCCCCCTCCCTTAATTTCATGTCTGTTCACAGCAGGCAGAAGGAAAGGTGCTGCATTTGTTTGTTGACCAACCTGGTCGTGGCAGAAGGCTGTGCTGCCATTCAATGGGACCTTGAAAAGCTGGAGAGTTGGGTGGTGAAAAACCATGTGAAGTTTAGTAATGGCATGCGTAGAGTGCTGCACCTGTGGAGGAATAACCCCAAGTACCAGCACAGGGGTTATTATATACCCCAAGTACCAGGGGCTGACCTAGTGGGGAGCAGCTCTGTGGAGAAGCACCTAGAAGTCTTTGTGGATGAAAGTTGATAATGAGCCAGCAGTGCCCTTGTAGCCAGAAGGGCCAATGATGTCCTGGCGTTCATTAGAAAGAATGTGGCCCGCAGGTCAAGGGAGCTCCAGGGATGCCACATCTAGAGTGTTGTATTCAATTCTAGTCTTGATCCAAAAAGACAAGGAGCTACTGAAGAGAGTCCAGTGGAGGCCATAAAGATGAGGAGGGATCTGGAGCATCTCTTAGAAAGAGAAAATRTGGGAGCTGGGCCTGTTTAGTCTGGAGAAGACAGAGAGAATCTCACCAATGCATACAAATATCTCAAAGGTGGGTTCCAAGAGGATGGTGCCAGACTCTTCAGTGGTGCCCAGTGATAGTATGAGGAGCAATGGCCACAAAATAGTACGCAAGAAATTCAACTTCAGCCTGAGGAAGAGCATTACACTGAGTGGCAGAGCACTAGAACAGGCTGCCCGAGGAGGGCCTGGAGTCTCTCTCTCTCAAAACCCTTCTGGATGTGTTCCTGTATGATTTGCTCTAGATGTCCCTGCCTTGGCATGGGCTTGGTCCGGGTGATCTCCAGAGACCCATTGCAACCCTAGCAATTCTGTGATTCAGGTTTGAGCTGCGGTGTGAATTTAGGACAGGATAAATCGATCCCTTTGGAAGTGAATGTTTTCCCTCGCCTCGGTTCCGCAGTAGCGCTGCAGCTCCGTTTGTCCCAAAGTCACCCTGTCCACCCCCGTCGGTGTCGAACCCGGGACCCCGCGGGGCRCCGAGCCTGGGGCCCGCCCCGCCACGTGACTGGCATCACGTGACCGTGGCGCCGATGGCGGCGGCGCCGCCGCGCTGAGGGGAGCCGGCATGGAGGTGTTCATCCCGTCCTTCCGATACGAGGAGAGCGAGCTGGAGCGGGGATACACGGTGAGGTGCGCCTGGGCGGGGCACGCCCGCGTCTCGGGGCGGCCGTGTGGCGGCGGCGAGCAGGGGCTGCGCTGGGGCACCGGGCAGGCATCAGCGTACCGGGGCCGTCCTGCCCTCCGTGCCCGGGCCAGCCATGACCTGCCCTTCTCTGCCCAGCCTTGCCCTGACCAGCGCAGCCCGACCTTGCCCTGCCGGCCCTGTCAGGCCCTGCCCAGCCTTGACCTGTTCTCCCCATCYCTGCCCTGCCCAGCTCAGCCCCTGTCCATCCCTGTCCTGTGCAGCCAACCCAGCCTTGCTCTGTGCGTGCCATTCCTGCCCTCCCTGTCCAGTCCAGCCTTTCCATGCCCATCCCTGCCCTGCTTCTCTCGGCCCAGGAAGGGTGGTCTGAGCCCGTCAGGCACCTCCTGCCCCACACCAGCTCTGTTTTGCGGGCAGCRGCGGCTGGTGCGGCGTCACCAGCAAGGAGGGACGGGCAGCTGCACCCTTGCCACTCGGCTCTGCTGGCAGAGGCGCATGCTGGATCCAGTCTGGGCTGGGAAAAACAGAAGCTGGAGTGAGTTGAGTGRAGGGCCAAACACGGTGAAARGACTGGAGTATCTTCTGCGTGTKGGAGGCTSAGAGAGCTGGGACTGCTTGTCCTGGAGAGAAGGGCTGRGGGCATCTCTTCAATGAGGGGTTCTGAACAGAAAAGATGGGGGGACTGGGCTCCTTGTGGGAGTGCCCAGTGAGAGGAGAGTGGGCAAACATCAGAGCACAGGGAACCAAGACAAGAGTGATATTTCTTTCATGAGGTGGTCAAGCACTGGCATAGATTGCCCAGAGGACTGTGAGGTCTCTATCCTTGCGGGTKCTCAAAACCTGCCTGGACACTGTCCTGAGTAGTCTGCTGTGCAGTTGACCATCCTTGAACAGGCAAGTTAGTCTGCACAGTTTTTAGAGATCCTTTTTGTTCTCAGTAGTTTTCTCATCCCACAAAACTGTTGGACTGTGATGCTTTCATCATCTGAAAGTGGGTATTCAAGGCTTGCTTCTTTTATTAAATATATTCACTCAGTAGCTCAGACCTGTTAAAAAACACAAAAAGAATCCTGTAGAATTTCTAGAAGATTAGTCCATGTACGCATAGTTCCAGGAAGCAAGTTCATCTTCCTGATGCTGAATGCTGTATATTATTCAGTCCTCACTACTAGCAAGTGTTTGCAAGCCTTGCAAAAGGTAAACCACTTTAGATGCATTGATGTGGGAGTGTAAAAGCATTAATATTTCRGGCCTCTTGGGTGAACCTAAATGTAAGTGACTCCCTACAATACATCTGTGTGATTTTGGGGACTTGGCTTTCAAACATTTTGACTGAGTGTGATTACAACAGCACAGACTGATCCCACCATGTCCTGTTTGAGGAGGTTAGTTGAAATGACAGAATGATTTCTAAGATGTTCATATCATACAAATAGGATTTTTCATAGTAATATTTATTTTTAGTATTTGTTTTTAGTGTTTTTCTATTTCTTTAAATATAAACCTGCTATCTACAGGTTGCATTTTTTTAAATTTCATTATTGTTAAGCTATGTAAGCTTCAGAGAAATCAGAAATGAAACTGTATGTTTGTAGARCAAACTTTCAAGAAAGTGATTCTGAGAGTGAACATGTTCTGTTTCAACACTGTTGATTGTTACAGCACTTTTCCTCTTGTGTCCTTTAGTGCTGATGAGTCAGTCTTGTGGAACTGAAAGTTGCTGTAGTTTGGTAGATTKTGGTAGTTTTTACAGCATGATTATTTTTCCATTCCAGTCAGATGASGGGATACTCTACTACATCCCATGCTTTATCCTGACCATGAAACCACGAGAAAACATAGCTACAGTTTGCCTGGGTCAGGCATTCTTGTTGGAGAGGATATGGAAAACTGTTCTGATAATAACATTGTGTTTCTCCTTTATGTTTTAAAGAGCTTATGGGCTATGCATGAGGAAGACTTATGACAATGTAATTGTCAATTTTTCGTAATATTAAATAATTTACATAAATATTGTTCCAAGTTCAGAAATTCAAAGGGGTACACTATACGTCCTCCTTCCAGCCAAACTGTGGTTAATGAAAGCTTACCATTGCTCTGTACCAGCTGTGTATATCCTTGTAGACAGATATTTACTGTACATATTTAAAATAGAAATTATTTTGCTTTCAGCAACAAGGTGATTTCACTTGGATGGTTGGAACTTGTGAATGTTTCTGTGTCCACACCACATCAGCTCTCATTCTTGTGGGGGTTAACACTCAGGAGGTGTGGATTTGGAAGTCTTTATGATCAAGTAGATATTTCACCAGTTCTCTGCCGTCTATATCTGATGAATTAGAAAAGTTAAGTGGAGTAAGTGACRCTGTGAACTATTATCTCTTTGAAATGTAACTTTCAGTTAAACAGGATGTGGGTCCAATCCTGGACAAATGCAGTCAGAGTGAAGTATGGGGTTTTTATATGAAATTATATAGGCAAATCAATTTAAGTTAGTTTTCACCATCAGCTTTAAGTATTAACATTTAAAACAGTTTGGTGATAACTGTGAAAGAAGATGTGCTCTCAGTGAACACTGCTGGCAAAATGGTAACAGTGGACAAGAAAAGGCTGAGCTACTTAACTTCTTTTGCTTCAATCTTCACTTTCAGTCTCTTTCCCCCCAATTCTTGAGTGGTTGGACTGCAAGGCAGGGAATGGGGAAGTAAATTACTTCCCCAATCTAAGAGATTATAAGGCTTATGAAGAACCTGAACATATTTAATTCTGTGGATCCTGATGAGATGCATGCCAGGGTCCTAAGGGAATTGGCTGATGTAGTTGCCAAGCTGCTGTCCATGATACTTGAAAAGTCTTGTGAAATTCCAGTGACTGGAAAAAGAGRGAATGCTGTACTCAGCTTTAAAGAGCATAAAAAGGAGGRTCCTTAGAACTACCTGTCTGTCAGCCTCACCTCTGTGCCTGGGAATATGATGAAACAGATCCTGCTAGAAGCTCTGCTCAGGCACGTGGAGGACAGGGAGATGATTTGAGACGGCCAGCGTGGCTGCACCGAAGGTGAGTCCTGCCCGACCAAGCTGGTGGCTTTCTGGGATGGAGTGACCACATCAGTAGGAAAGGGAAGGGCTACAGATGTCATTTAYCTGCACTTCAGTAAAGCCTTTGATATGGTCCGCTGTAACATCCTTCTCTCTAAACTGGAGAGATTTGCATTCTATTGGTCAACTGTTAGAAACACAAGGATTTGATTGGGTGGTCACATCCAGAGGGTGGGGATCRACAGCTCAGARTCCCAGTGGACAGCAGTGACAAGTGGTGCCACCAGGGATCTGTATGAGGATCAGTGTTATCTTCATTAATGACATAGACTAAAGGATCTAGTAACCCTCAGCAAATTTGCAGGTGACACCAAGCTGAGTGGTGTGGTGACACTTCTGAAGACAGGATGCCATACAGAGGGACCTGGACAAACTCCAGAAGTGTGTCTGTGAGAACTTCATGAGGTTCAACAAGGCCAAGTGCAAGGTGCTGCACCTGGGTTGAGATAACTCCTGATATCAATTCAGGCTGGGGATGAAGGGATGGGGAGCAGTCCTGCTAGAAGGATTTGGGGGTGCAGTGGGTGAGGGGCTGGACATGACCCAGCCATGGCACTGCCAGCCCAGAGAGCCAAACGTGTCCAGGGCTGCACCCAAAGCAGCGTGGGCAGCAGGGGAGGGRGGGGATTCTGCCTTTCTGCTCTGCTGAGACCCTACCTGGGAGGGGCCAGCTGCATCCAGCTCTGAAGACCCTGACACCAGAGGGACTGTTGGAGTGAGTCCAGATGAAGGCTACAAAAAATGGATTAGAGGGATGGAGCACCGTTGCTTACTTCTTTCAGTGAAGAAAGATTTAAGAGTGTTGGTGTGTTGAACCTGAAGAAGAGAGCGCTCCAGGGCTCCATTTTTACAGGATATAAACAGGGCTTTTAAGGAAGATGGGGACAAGCTTTTTAACAGGTCTTGTTGCAGTAGAACAAGAAGCAGTGCTTTTAAATTAAAAGAGGATAGATTCAAAGTAGATATAAGGAACACAATTTTTACCATGAAGGTGGTGGAAATGCTGCACAGGTTGCCCAGAGAGGTTTCAGATGGCCCATCCCTGGAAACATTCAAGGCCAGCTTGGATGGGGCCTTCAGCAACCTAATCTAGATTAAAATGTTCCTGTTCATTTTAAGAGGGGTGGATTAGATATGTAAAAGTCCCTTTAAAAGTCCCTTCCAGCCCCAACCAATTATGCGATTCTGATTACAGGAGTGCCACTTTACACAGCTGAGCTATTTATTGTTGTCTTTCTCACACGTGCTAACTTGCTCAAAATGAAAATGTTTTCTTGGACTGGAGCAGCTGGAACATGGAGCTATCAGAGTTTATGCAATCAATAGCAGAAAAAGATAATGGAAGCAGATAGGAGATTGCTGGTGTGTTGGCTGCCCACTAACCCAGTCACATGCCAGTGGCTTACAAAGGGTGCCTTCTACACTGTGACTGCTGGTGCTGTTGCAGAGAAATGTGAAATGAGAGACTGAAGGGAGAGTTTCTCCTCTCTGTAGTGGCTCTGGGTTGCAACCATAACATGGTTTCCTGTCATCTATGTGTTTCTGGTTCCTTATCTTTAGGAAGAGGAGAATCCAGTACACTGGGATGCAGACTACTGCTGTGTATTCTTACTTCCTGGAAAGAAAAGACACAAAAGAGATGTTTGTCATTTTCTTTGGGGGACTTCATTACCAACTTACTGGTTAGTTTTCAGCTTTCCCTTAAACCTGTTGCTTTAGATTATTTCCTTTTTCTCCCTGGTGTAGCTAGACAGCTCCTGGAAAGTGGAATGGGCAGAGATCCATCTGTTCTGGGGAGAAGGTGCAAATGACTTGCCATGGAAAGTGGAAACTTCTCTCTAACTTCAGATGGAAAACTACAGTGTAGTTTAGAAATAGAAATGG